AGTTCTTTAATTTAATTTTAGTGGAACAAATCCGAGATATTCAATCCCATAATAATAATAATAATAATAATAATAATAATAATAATAATAAGGGTTGCCTTACAGTACAATATGATCCTAATTTTCCATACTTTTTGGTTTATAAATACTCCCTCCGTTCTTGTTACCCAACAGTTCAACAATATAATTCAATTAGTTATAGCATCGTCATTAGCATTGCTGCTTCCTGCAAGGTCAACCACAAATCAAGGTCAAGAAAAATGTTAAATGCAACTTACATAAGCGATAAAATGTAGAGTCGGGCGTGCAAATTTCTTTAAATTCTCTGAGATGCCCAAATCCATTAGATTTGACCCAATTGCTTAATTTTGTCACCGTTTAAATCTTCAAAACTGGTTTTGGGTCAAAAAGTCGCCATCGTTATTTTAACTTCAGACCCATCATATGTGTGGCTACAATGATTTTCCACGTGCTATTATTCGTCAGTAGTATTTGAAGTTCCTCAATCGTCACTGCTCAATGCTCATAGCTCCAATGTACCTTCTTCCTCCCTATTCCTTAGGAGTCAACTTTTTTTTTTTTTTAAGAATCGTACAGGCAAGAAGAAAGCTTGAAATTAGAACAAGGAAAAACACCTGAATCAACCAAGGAAGAAAACCTACTAAAACAAAAGCAAAAAAATAAAAAATAAAAAATTATAACCATTATCAGTCCTTCGTTGGGCCAAACAGAAGCTTGGAGGTTCGAGTAATTCCACCACATCTCTGCTCATACCACGAGCCTTCCTTGCAAGTGTATCCGCACTATGAAGTGATTCTCTAAAAGTATGAATGATCATGAGTCATATTCCACTTCGTCCATATCTGAAAATCACAGCTAAAAAGCGCAGAATAGTAAATGGGGTTAATAAGACCAGACCAGACTCAATGAGCTATTTGCAGTCACGCAAGGTGTGTAAAATGTTTACCTCTCCAGTAAACTCAAACAGGCACTCTGAGTGTATATCCTTCTCTCAGCACTAAGTGAGTTTCCCAAAAAGTCTTATTAAATGCACAAAAAATCATAAATTCCCATAGACTTTAATTGTAATTAATTTTTGGTGTACGTGTATCAAAGGGAGAATAACAACTAGGTCCTAACAGGATCAATTAATTCAAATGAGGTTCCAAATATAAAACTTTAGGAATTTGTGAGTTTATTCTTAATTTTGTAACTTTTTTTTTAATTTTAATATGATTGAAAAATAAATAAATTTATTTTTCTGCTAAAATTTAGAACACAAATTATAAATTCATCACAATAAAGTTATAAATTTAAGAGATGAAATTTTAAATTTTTAAAATTTGACACTTGAGACCTAATTTAAATTAATTGGTCTCATTGAGACCTCCCTATCATTATCCATTTACCAAAATACCCTCTTTTAAAAAATAAAAAATTATCTCCCCATAGTCATTAGCATCGAAGCTAGCCATGCATGGCTTGACTGTCGGAGATCTGGCAAGTAAATTATTGGAGAGTTGGTCATGGTAGGATTTGAGGACACAAGATTTTCAAAAAATCATGCCAGAACCATTTGTTTAATTAATAAAATATATGCAAAATATTACTTCCTTCATCTCAAATTATAACACACTTTTAGATAAAATCTTACATATCAATAAAACTTATTAAATACACTTTACAACTTTACTTTTTCAAAATAAAAATATAAACTTTTAAAAATGCCTTTCATTTAATACTCTATTGATGAAAGAATATTGAAAAGAGAAAATATATGAGAAGAGCAACATTAAAAAAGTATCATTAATGAACCTTATTTTTATCAAAGTATCTTATATTTTGAGACACTGAATCTTCTCTAAAAGTATTTTTATAATTTGGAACGAAGGGATTATATATATATAGACATTTATTGTTAATTACAAAATATTAATAGTCAATCTCATACACAATAGTTGTCAATCTCTTATGTTGAAATTGTCAATTCTAATATGTTAGTTACCAATTGGATATTAACAACTTTATTATAAGGAAGTGATGACAACTTTAGCAGTTGGTAAAAAAAAAAAAAAAACAACTTTAGTATATGCTAAATTTGTCCATTCTTATAAGACAGTATATTGTTAGTAGAATATCAATAACTTCAGAAAAAAAATTCACAACTTTAGCATAAAATAACAAATCTCGAGAGACTTACGTATAAGTGACAACTTTAGCTAAAGTTGTCAATTCCTTACATTAAGTGTGTGTTTGGTTTTCAGTTTGTCAAAAATTCATTAGGTAAAAATTCATTTGGTGAAAGTTAATTTAGTAAAAGTTAATTATTGTAATGAAATTTATATTTGAATACATTTTTTCAAAAGTCAGTTTAGTACACTAAAAATTATTTAGTTTGTGATAGTGAAATGTATTTTTAAATATACAATTACCAAAAAGAATATTAATTTATGATAATTTGTAATTTTTATTATACAAATGTAATATATTTAAAATATTTAAAAAATATGATAAAGATTTTAAATAACATAAATTTTGATCTATAATACTAAAAATTTGATCTCTAGTTATTTTTATTTTTTTAATTTGTAATTTTAAAAAATGTGATAAAAGATTTGTAATTTTTATTATACATTAATGCTAAAAATTAATATAATTAATTATTTAATTTAAAATGCTAAAAACATGATGCCTAATTATTATTATTGAAATAATAATTATATTTTTAATAAATTAAATATTTTTAAATAAAAAATAAGTGATTAAACTTGGGGTAGTATGGTCAAATAATATTCTACTTTTTAAATTCACTTTTTAAAAATTTTAAAGTTATGTTTCAAAAATTCACTTTCAACTACTGTTTGAATGTACTTTCAGGATGTGTTTTTTTACAAAATATTTTACCTAAATAATTTTCAGCTTTTTAAAAGTAAAATTTTTTTTTTGAATGTGAAAAGTAAGAAAACCAAATGGATCCTAAAATTGTTAATATCCCATTTGCATCTGACATATTAGAATTGATAATTTTAACATAAAGGAGATTGACTAGTAATGGTTTGGAATTGACATTAAATTTATATATATATATATATATATAATATTTGCATATATTTAACAAATGGGTTCAATAGTCTGGTGTCTTTAAAATTCAAATCCTATCATGACCAACTCTCCAATAATTTACATTAGTAAATGTACATGAGGAGATAATTTTTTATTTTTTTAAAAATATTTTAATAAATGTACATTAAAAATTAGTTACAGTCAAATTACATGAGAGTTTAGAGTTATTGGTACATTTTATGGAATTTTTAAAATTAGAATCTCCCTCTGGGACCCTTGTATATGATATCACTTTAAAAGATGCCTGTCAAGTTCTTGTTGGGTCATTTCTGATGGCACCGACTCATCATCCTCATTTTCCTTGCTCTTCCCCTACAACACCACGCATTCGGCATAGACCACACATTATCTGCAGCAAAGCTCCAATCACACTACTGTACGATATTTTGAAACCCTAATCAGTCATTAATCACATATGCATATACCATAATTTAATGTTGTTGATGTTTGAAGCACACCTATACACGTTGGTGGGCTAGGATTCAGAAGCACATTGAGCAGGCAGAGAACTGCTCGCAACAAAAACATCCTCAGCTAAGGTCTGCTGAGACAGCAGATCATCGGCAAGCCAGCAGCAGCCACGTGTCCAAACCATGACTGATTCTCTGCAAATGGACATGTACTCCCGTCCTTCTTTAATCAAGTTACTCTCACGGGCTCTTTCCAACGCATCCATTTTCCACCGTACTGGATCAGTCCTCCATTTGCACCAGTCACGAGACTAACTATTGGAGTATGGAGGATCCCTGGTCTAATATGCAAATACTCAATGGGGATTAATTAAACTAATTATTATTATTAAACATAACAAATAATATATATTAAAAAAGTATCTCTTTCTATTCATCATGTTTGGTTAGGCTTATACATGTAATATGCATACGTAGTTGGACGTTTGGTGTTTTGCCTAGCTACCATATATATATTTTAAGAATGGCATCGGTCGGTATGGTTTGTATAATAGGAACTTATATTACCTGCATATTGTTTTCTTTTTATATAGCAAATCAGATGATGCCAATTTGAGAGCCATTAACCGTGAACTGGTTTGTATATTCTCCGTGGCAGGTGTACGTGGTATTAATATAGCAAATCTTTTCATGATCTCAATGATTATCTTTGTCTTACATGTACGTAGCGCAGCTTAGTTCACGATTTGCTCCAAGCTATACTGCTAAGTGTCGAAGACATACCACCGCTCAACCAAATTAAACAAAGATTTATACAGCAATTCTACGAGACGTGCAGAAAGTGGGGTTTAGATCATGAGGAAGGGCAAAGGGGGAGAAAATATGTGGCCAGGAAACGCTCGTGGGGAGATATTTTATGAATCGTGCTTTACGTTATTTTCTGAGGCTGAAAATACTTAGAGAATGAATAATGAGAGAGCGTAAAAGAGAAATAAGAACGTGGGAGATCTACGTTTGAATTACTAGCCCTCTCTTTTCATATAAACGGAATGACAACCCTGCAATACATGGGCCTGTATGGTCAACTTGCATTTACATCCCCAAGACGGAAATTTGGCCATACACTGCCTAACTAAAACCATAAGAAAATTGACACGTAGCCCAACCACACATTATCAGTCATGCATACACACACACATCATATCCTGAAGCTAAGCCGGACTCGACCTGTAGGCTTGGCATCAAGTAGCTAAGTCCTCATGAGTCATGATCACATGTAACAAGCTAAAATATTTTCTCTGCTATACTTTAAGCATTGCTGGGTTGTCATTCCATTTATATGAAAAGAGAGGGCCAGTAATTCAAACGTATCTTTCGCGTTAGGTGAAATAATAAAAGATAACACGAGGAGCGTTGAAGCGTGTACCGAACTTCACTTTAGAGAGACTTAAAAGCAGAGTGTCCTAATTTCCTATATTAAGCCATAACAGCCCGTCACCCTCTTCCTTCTTTGTCTGTATGAGTTCATCACTTTAAAGTTGAAGTTCAGGAACTTTTATATCAAGCATCCCTGGGAGCATATCCATCACCGGAGCGAGAGAGATGAGCGAGAGCGCGAGAGGCACTGCAAGAGAAACAGGGGGTGCAAGTTGCACCTGTGAACAAGTGGCGTCAGGGGCCGGACTTCCCCCTGAAGCGACAGACGAAGGAGTTTATAATGATGATGATGAAGTGAAAAGATCCAAAGCGAAAGGTATGAATGTTAATAGCTCAAGTAAGAATCTGGAAAACAGAGTGGATGAACAGAGTGCCTCGGAAGTTTGTTGTCATTTAGTGAGGCGAGAGAGTTAGGTGATGTAAAATGGCGACAGGGAAAATCAGAAGTATTGGAGGGTGTACTGAACTTCAACAGTTCAACTTTATTTCTCCCTCCCTCCCTCATTTCATTTGACCCGTGCCCTGTAACCAAGAGGAACAGCTTCAAACCCTTCACTCCCTTATCCTTCCTTCCTTCCCTCTCTTCGTTCACTTCTCCCGCCGTTCCCTGCTCTTCAGTCGTTGCCGGTGTGCGTGTGGCTGGGATCCGTCGTAGCGCTGTCGAATCGCAGCTTCTTCATCCTCCTCTGCTTCACTTTCACAGGACTGCAGCCCTTCTTTCTCCTCCGTCATCCGTTCCTCCTCCGATTGTAGCAGCGGCGCTGAAGATTCTTCCCTCTTCTCTGTGTCGTCGACTGTGAGTTGGGTGGAGCTCCTCTTTTCTCCCTCTTCCATGTTCGATGTCCAGCTCTTCTCTTCCGTCTCCCTTCTTGTCGTGGTGTTGGGCGTCGGACGTTCTCCCTCTTCTCCCTCCCTTTTGAGCGCCGCAGACTTCTTCCTCTTCTCTCTGTTTCGTCGTGGTGGATCTGAGGTGAGTGGCTTCACATTATTCACCTTTTTGGTGATGCTGGCTGAAGTTGACTTTTTCCCCTTGCCTTCTACCTTGGTATCAATCTATTTGTGTGTGTGTTGATTGGGTTGGAGCAAATTATGATTTCTCCTCTTTGTTCTAGTTGATGCGTGAATGGGAGTGTAGATGGGGTTCAATCAAGTTGAACTTGAGTTTAAGAGCACTTTTTTATATCTATAAATTGAACAGAATTGTGGAATGGCAATTGAAGAGTTGAAGCTTTGTATTAGTTTAAGGTTTAATGCTTGTGTGATGGTCGATAAAATGTCTGTTAAGTGCTTGATTATGCATTTTTGCAAGTTCCATTAAGTCTATTGAGAAGCATACCTGATTTGGGTGCTATTTAGTTGAGTCTAACTTGAGCATTACAAAGAATTTGTTTATGACGCCTTGTGTGACAAAATGAGGGAAATTATTTTTTTTTTTAAGATTTTGTTGATGATTGTTTTGTTGGTGTACCGAGATAAAAAAAAAAAAGAAAACAAGATCTTTTTTATTTTAGCATCTACTCTTGAAATCCAACTTTCTCAGTCAACAATGGTGCCTTTCAAATTGTTTTTTTTTTTTTGGCTTTCATCATAACATGGTTTCTAATTTGTTATTTTACTATAGTTCTTTGGTTCATATTTGAGGAGGATGAAGTTTGTTTGTTTTTATGATAACTTTTGGGATACATATAAAGTGACTGATGAAAGATTTGAGAAATAAAGTTGAGGAAATGAGATAAATATGATGATATTTTTATAAGGTGGCCTTTACGGTTGAATGCATGAGTCCTATTATTGAGATTTCAAATTAGATTGCCGCCATGCTTTCAGCTTGATTTGTTGAAAGTAAAATACTTGCAGGAAAGTAGTCTTTTGAAAGTGGGTCTGCCAAATACCAGGAGAATGACCAATACGAGAAGAAATTTGATTTTCAAGGCTTATGATTGTCAATAATATCCTATATGTTCCATGCTACTTTTCTAAATATGGTTCATTTAGTTGTTTAGCTTGTTGGAATGTTAGCGTTTGAGTCGCTGGAAATAAAGTGTTTTATAATTTAGTGAAAAAACATTGGATATCATGTTGATGGTTATATGTCTTAGCTTGAACCAAAATTTAAAGCTTTTAATTGTTATGAGCTACTCTTTTAGTCCTCAAATTTCGCTTGATTTTGACGTTGGTCTCATTCAAAGTTTTAATTTAGTTTATGTAATGTTAGGAAAACCTTGATTTTATTTTAAATTGAGTAGTGATTAAACATGTACTATTAAATCATCATCTTAATGGAGCAGTGGAACGTGGAGGAGTGCTATTGCATTCTACAGGGAATCCCAATGAAATGTTTAAGAAAGAATTATATAGAATTAAGTATTATTTACTCTCCTTATTAATATATAAGTGTTGAATATGTTACTAAAGTTTCATTAAACTCTCAGTGAAGAATTATGTTATTTAGATATTTAGATTTGGCTGGGTATTCATTCTCTTGAATTTGGCTCAATTATGTGATGAATAGACTTTGAGAATATCAAAAGATGCTGTGATATGATTATGTTGTTTCCTAGTTGTTGATTTGCTTTTTAGCTAAAAGATAGCCATCTCTTAGCTCCTTGCATGTTTGAAGGTTAATTCATATTGTGTTATTGTGTGAAAGTCTAGTCTATTGGAAAGTTTATTGTACAATTATTTTTGAATTGAATGCAATGCCTGTAGTATACATCTTTCTTGGGTTGAGCTTGTTAAATTGAATTTTTAAATGGGTCAATATATTATTTATACATGAAAAAGAATTTACTTTGGTGTGACTTATAAACCATGTTGATATACATCTATTTCTAAATGAAAACTCTCCATTGCTTTAAAAGGGCCTTATTGTACTTAAAGAGATTTTGGGTTGAAAATCATTTTTGGAAGGTAAAGAAGAGCAAATGGAAATCCCATTATTGAGAATGGGAGAGAATAAGAGAGACAGGAGAGGGAAGAGAGATGAGATGAGAAAAGGGTTGGGAAAATTGGGGTTACAGAACATGAATGAAATAAAAGATGCAAAATGGCAGAAGATAAATTGCATATTTTTGACTGGCTCAATCCTTTTTTCAGAAATATGTTTGCCAATAGGTCTTTAATCCCAATTTTCCCAAAAAGTGGGAAGGAAATGAAAAGGAAGAAAAAGAGGAGAAGGAAAATGACAGAATTATTAAATCCTCTAAAGTTGATATTCATAAATTTCTGTAAAGATCTTTATAATTTTTTTAGTATTTTCATTATTTTCATTATTGTTTTATAAAAATTAAAATCTCCTGTCTTCCTTAATAAAAAATCAAACCGCAAATATCAGTCTCAGATGTTTTGAATGTACGAAAAAGACAAGGAGAGATTATTATCTAAAATAATTGTGGATAAGGGCAAAATGGTCCAGAAATTTTGTTTCCGTGGAATCGTGCATGCATGGAATCAGATTCCAGACATTTATGCCCACAAAACAACCTTTTTACATAATTACTTTGAACATTAGCGATACTTCAATTAATTTGGATGCAAAGTTGTTTTGGCGCCATTCTAGACCGATTTTACAATAATGATCCTTAACCTCATTCTAGACAGACTTGGATGCTCAAGCGTAGTTACTTTTAATTTCAATCATTCTTCATGTTAATTTTTATCAATAAGTTTCATAATAAAATGTGTTACGTTTCTCATTATTAGTTATTTTTGTTGCATTTTCAAAATTAGAGGCATCCTAGAACACCAGGGATATGGATAGAACAGCAAATGGAATCATGGAAACCAATTGTGGATGCTGTTCATGACAAAGGTGGTATCTTTTTTGTCAGATTTGGCACGCTGGTAGGGTTTCAAGTTCAGGTACTTTCTTAGCTTCACTGTTACAAAATGCACTTTTCACACTGGTTAAAGTATCACTTCATCCAATTCAATGCATGATAGTTTTGACATGTTTCAATTGATTATTATGGATCTCAAGATTTAAAAGCATATATCCTATGTATGCATATCAAATATGTAACTTTTTAATTTTACTCTTTGTAATTGATAACTGTAATAAATTGCTCTCTATTCTCAAGGAAGTCAAACCATAATAAATAAACAAGGTGTAAAGTTGGAATATAAATTAATTACTTTAACTTTATCTTATACTAAGGACTAAAAAATACTTTCAAAGTTTGTCTTTGTATAAAGGATTTTGCGCCCCGGGAGGAATAAAGAGAAACATTCTTTGCTAAAGGTTGAACCCTCCATCAATCTGCATTGTCTATGAATAGCCCTTTCTATGGTACAAATTATCATGTAATGTTGTCCCCTAAAAAACTAGTCTACTATAAGTGATCGAGAGAGTAACTAAACTTTTATATCACACTTATTATGGGAGGCTTTTTGATGTGCAAGTCATAGCAGCATTCTTCCAATTTCCATCTTCTTTGCTACCTTAAATTTGTTTGAATTTATCAATTTTTACTTTCTTGCAGTAGAATAAAATAAAGGCTTAAAGCATTTTTTTCCCAAAACTTTCTTCTAAAGAGCATTAGGCACTGATATTGAAAGGTGAGGTAATATCTTCCTAAATAATTTTTTGAAGAAGTAATATTGCTCTTTCATTGGAGACTCATAATCTTCTTTGTTATTTACTAGCGTAGAATAGTTATGGGGTGCATATACAGTGACATCATTCTAACCTATTTTGCTGCTAAAATCAAGCCCAATTCTCTCCACTATCGTTGCACGTCCAGCCCCTTTAGCCCATGTTAGATTATCAAAATGGGTTAGAATGCCTTGATGTCTCCATGTGTGGGCCCTATGACTACTGAATGCCTCGATGTCTTGATGTTTCTGATAAGATCTTACCCCAAATTGCTTCAACACAAAATTAACTCTACTACAAGCACTCTATAGACTTTCAAGTCCAAACTTGCCCTTACTTTGCCCATGAGTAGTTCTTGGCTTGCATAGGCTTAAATATAGACTTGTTCACGCCTGTGAGCAACATAAACTTGCTTCTAGAATTTTGACTTAGAGACATTCAATATAATTTAACATAAAATCTTTTTATAATTTTGGATTATAAGTGTTGGATCCTTCTTTTGATTTGAAAGTTAATAACTCAAAAATATTACAAAAATAAAAAAAATTAGGATACCAATTATTCCTCCAAACAGACTTCATAGGCAAAATTTTTCTTTAATACTTAAAAAAATAGTCAACGTTGGTCAAACATTACTTTTAAGTGACATTGCACCTTTTTTTAAACATCTAGTATACAATTGCTTTAATCAAAAATTAAGAATACAATTACACTTGATGAAAATCTTTCAAGGCAAATTTGTCCTTCAACCCCTTTCAATATTACCTTCACATGCATCCTCTTTCTCAACTCACACACCACTTACCATTTATATTTTCTAAAAATAAATAATTATTCAATTTTAAAAATAATTAATAATTAAATTTTCACTAAAATAATGAAAAATGAAAGAATAAAAAAGAATTGCTTGAGCACAAGACAAAATATATTTTTCAAAGTTTTACCTAACAAAAATTACATATTATCAAATTAACACATGCATCTCTATAATTGTATATTTAAAAGTATTCTTGTTATTTTAATGTGTTCAAACATAATTTTTGTTACAATAAATAATTGCTATTACTAAATTGATGATACTTTTATTAAATAGATTTTTGTCAAACTACAAACCAAACCCTGAGTCTAACAAAATACATAAAGTAGTTTACTTAGTTAAATTAGTATTTAATGGATTAGTTAAATTTGGAAATATACTAATATCATGATATGACTAATAATAATATGACTGATAATCACTTTTATTTGGTGTATTTAATTTCATATCACTCTTGGTATTTTTTTTCTTAAATATCTCATATCTTTTTAGCTCTATAACTACTCTGGCATTTACTTTCAATAAATTAATACCCATTTACTTGAATGGCATCTAGCCATATTGTAACCATTGCTCATGATTTTAATAACCATAGAAAAACATCATTATTTTGATATACATAGCAAAACATTGTTGCTTTTAAATTCTCAATTTGGGCATTGACCATATATGATATGATCATGACAAAATAAAAATGTTAATTAGTTTTTAGTACTTTTATAAAGTAAGTATGCTAATTAGTTTGTAGCGCTATTATTTTTCCATGTGACCTAGAAGAATCAACAAATTATCAAATTGATCAACCTATCTTTATGTGACAAAGAAGAATCAACAAATGATCAATAACAAACTCATTAGGGTCCATGCTCTTACACTGATTCGGTAAAGCATCGTGTTGATAATGTATTCTGAAAAATAGGTAGAATGTAAGAGATTGAGATGAGAGAAATGAACAAGACAAGAATGAATTAGGAGAGGAAAATAGAAATACATTCTCATTCACTTCAAGCTTACTATCACTTGGTACATGCCCACTATTTATAGGCCACAAGTCCTTCAATTCTAGTTCAAGAGTTACATATAAAGAATAAATCTACATAATTGTAGGATATATAACATATTTATTATTCATGAAAATCTCCCAAGAAGCCATACATGTTGTAGGTTATCTAGCGTTAATTGGAGAATTCTATAGAACAACTCTTGGAAGGTTATGAACATTTACACTTAATATTAAAATATTTATAACACTTCTACAATTAGAGCCCTAAGAACTCGCTTTGAGAAATGGGAATTAGTATAACCAACAATAGAATTAAAAGTGTAAAATATCTCTTTATTGTGTTTGGTAAAAGGAGCATCAAGTTCAAATCTCTTTGGCAAATTAGGATTCACCAAGAACAATCATCTATAAGCGATGAGATCTGCCCTATCATCTGCCACTACAATGTTGCCATCTTTTTTATCATAGCCTCCGATGATGATAAACGTGTTGTTGAAGGCCCTTTTTATTGGAACAAGAATATGTTGGCTCTCAACTTTTTCTCTAATAGTCTTTGTTCTTGGCTCTATCATGTGGTAATACAAAATACTATATTGGTTTAGGGAATTTGCCATGTATAGGCTAAGTTCTTGATGATTGGAGTCTTCATATTCATAATAATTTGAAAAAAAAGAGATAATCTAATTCTAACTCACTTTGTTCCTATTTCACTAGTAACTACTTTAATGACCTTTAATGGAAATTAACAATGATTCTCTAATGATCTATCATATTTATGAAATTTTATGGAGTATTAAATAGTCTTTCAAGGGTGCAAGTGGAGTTTGAAATAATAAGGATTTAGAAATGATTTCAAATCATGAAGAAATTAAGATAAAATATGAGTTTGGATTCAAATAAAATTCAAATTCATAAAAATTTCAAATGCCCAAACAAGAAATTTGATTCAAATTCAAATCCAAATCTATATGTATTTAAATATAGCATTAGTTTCAAAAATTCATTAACATTTCAAGTTAGGTGCCCCCTAGTTCAAAAGTAGGCAATATATATATATATATATATATTGTGAGGTTATTTGATGTGAAGAAAATGTTACATTACATTATCCATTCAGAATATTAATATCAAATCTGATAGACTACTACTAAGTTGGATACTATTTTAGTTACTTAGCTAGTGCGTCATTCTCTCACACTTTGATTTGACAATAAATCTTGAGATAATGATGTGAGATAAGGGAGACAACATTGAAACATTTTTTAAAACAATTGAGGAGTATGAGAGGTAAGATTGCTTGCTTTTAAACTAGTTGAACTAAATTGAACTTTTAGGTTTTGCTTGGAATTAGAAAAAATAAAAATGAGAGAAAATTATGGGAGAATGTGAAAGGAAAAAGATCTTTTATACTTTTGTTTTCTCTTAATTTCTTCCCTTAAAGAGAATGAAAACTTTAAAAAAAATTTATGGTAGAGAATGATAATGTCTTTTTTCCTACTTTTCTTTTATAATTTTCTCCCAACCCTTGCCTTTATCTAATCCAAAATGGATTAATAAAAGTAGCTGAAATGACTGAAGTTGTACTTATATAAACTTGTTTTATTATTATTGGCTAAAATTATGTATATTGAAACAAGTAGAAGAATAATTTGTAAAATTAAATTATGAAGAATCTTGGCATTAACTACCCTAACATTAGTTTTAAGGTGTTTTTTTTAAGTGATCCTAACTATAAAAATTTTCAAATGAAAAGATGATATAATTTGCATACCAAAAAAAAAAAGAAAGATGATATATTTTTTAGTATAGTTTTACCCTTTAACTTGAGAAAGCATTTGCACACATAACAATGTGACTCATCATCTTCCTTTAAATAACCACAAGGTTAATATAATTGAGAAGTTTGTAATTTTTTTAACAAATAAAGCAACGAAAGATGAAAAAAATATTTAAACAACTTATTAATAGGATTAGAAGAGTGTATCTTATTCATAAAGTCAAGTGTCATTCTAAGCATCACTTGAAATAGTTATATATGGTCAATGTTAAATTATTTATGTTAAATATATTTAATAATAGTTTATTTTACTAAAATAGCTTGTGTCTTTTAGTTACACACATTTGAAGTTTTATGTTTTGATCTATTTTCTGATTGCTTGATGTGAGACTTCTTTATTTATACTATTCTCCTTACCATTTTTTTATTTTCTTTTTCTTTTTTTTTCTTCTTTTTATTTTGGCTTGAACTTTTTTTCAGTTTCAAGGACCTCAAGCTCATAATCTTTATTCTTTCTCTCTTTTCATTTTTTACCCTCTTGTTTCTCTCTCCCCCCTTTTGGTTAATGTTTCTTCTTCTTCTTCTTCTTGTTTTTTCTCTCTATGTTAAATATTTAAGTGGTCTAATTTTGCTCATAAAATTTTAGAGTTAGTGGAGGTACACGTACTAGCTTTCATAACTTTCCTTGGAATGAGTCTAAAATCATTGATGATATGGGGAATTTCATTTGTTATCAACCTTCTTAGATGTGTGTATTGTGCAACATCAATGCTAATGCTTCAAAATTGTGGAGCCACTCCCTTGTCTGTATAAGATATTGGAGTTTCACCACTTGGCTGAAAATCTATTCAAAACATTGTAAGTTGGGGATACATTATTCAACATATGTATGCACAATAGAGTGGGTCCAAATGTTGAATAATATATTTGCAACTTATGTTGAATAATGTATTCCCAAATTATAATGGTTTGAATAGAATTTTAGCCAAATGGTGAAACTCTAATATCTTGTATAAACAAAGGAGTAGCTTCACAATTTTGAAGTAATAGCATTGATATTGCACAATACACACATCCAAGAAGGTTGACAACAAGTGACAGTTCTCATATCATCAATGACTTCAGACTCATTACAAGGAATGTTATAGAAGCTAGCACGTGTATCTCCACTAACCCTAAAATGTTGTGAGCAAAATTAGATCACTTAAATATTTAACATAGAGAGAAAAAACAATAAAAAGAAGAAGAAGAAAAATAGCAAAAAAGAGGGAGAGAGAGAAGAGATTAAAAAAGAAAAGAGAGAAAGAATGAAGAAAATGAACCTAAGGTCTGAGAATGAAAAAAGTACAAGCCAAGATAAAAAAGAAAAAGAAAATAAAAAAGTGGTAAGGAGAATATTATAGATAAAGAAGTCTCACATTAAGCAATTAGAAAACATATCAAGATATAAGGCTTGAAATGTGCCTAGCAAAAAGACTTAAGCTATTTTGGCTAAATAGACTATTATTAAATATACTTAACATTGATCATATATAATCAGTCCAAATAATGCCTAGAATGATAACTGACTTTATAAATAAGCTACACTCTCCTAATTCTATATTTATAAGGTGATTGAGATAATTTTTTTTAATGTTATGTTGCTTTATTTGTTAAAAAAGTTGCAACTTTTCAATTATATTATCCTTTTAACTAATTAAAGGAAGATAATGAATTATATTGTTATTTGTGCAAATACTTTTTTAAGTTAAAGGGTAAAACTGTACTAAAAAGTATATCATCTTTTCATTTGAAACATTTTATAATTAGGATCATTCTTTTAAAACACCTTATAAATTATATTAGAGTAGTTAATGCCAAGATCCTTCACAATTTGATTTACAAATCATTCTGCTACTTGTTTTAATATACATTGATTCAACCAATAATAATAAAACATGTTTATATAAGTACAACTTCATTCCTTCCAGCTGCTGTCATTAACCCATTTTGGAATAGATAGAGAAAAGGGATGAGAGAAAATTATAAAGGAAAAGTAGGGAAAAAAATCCATTATCCTTCTCTAAAATAAAATGTTTTTTTAGCTTTCTTTCTCTCTAAGGGGATAAATTCGGTGAAAACAAAAGTGTAAAACATCTTTTTCCTTTCACATTCTCCTAAATTTTCTCTCATATTTATTTTTTCTCATT